TCATAGTGTTTTAACATAGCAACAGAAACTCTAAGTGTATTGCAAGTCCCTTTTTCTGAAGACATCACACATCACCAAGTAAAATCAAGTTGGAACCAAGCTGAAAACAACCTCTTTACTGGCTCACATTCACAGTGTCAGAAAGGGTATGCAGGCTTCCAGGAGAGAAAACTCATCAGTAGCCCCATTCACCCACATAAACTATTCTTGCTACAATAGTGACCTAACAGGGAGGGTATGCCGACTGAGGCAATAATGGCATACTGGAAGTAACCAACTGCTTTGTGATTGGAGACTTTCTCCATGAAGGACTATACATCTAATACTATAAAACTGTCCAAAAGCCTATGGCTGGAAAAGTAGGGAGATCATGGGAACATTGTCTCCCTAAGTGGGCATATTATGAAAATGCATTTATAAATATTTACGTTTACATCCATAGATAGTCATTGCTTTCAGCCAAGGGGAGAAAAGTTCCTTTTTGCAGATATTGAAAGGTAACATAGAGGCTCATATCTGGTTAACACCTTGACAATATGTGATTGTCAAGTGCTCAGCCTCAGATGGACCATCTATGTTACTCCCTGAAAGGCCTAGAAAATATCACATGTAATGAAGTACTCCAAGAGTTTGGAGTCTGTCAGGGAGAGGCCCTTGCCCCAAGAGATGATACCAGACCACTGGATGCAAGTGCAAGAGGCTGTTTATTGTTCACACACACAGGTACCTATGGACGCTTCAGTCTTTCGGGAGACTGAGAGAGCATGTGTGGTTAAAACATATGCAGTTTATATAGGGTTGGGGTGGCAAGAAGCAGGCTTACAGAAGCAGAAGCATGGTTACAGGGATTTCATTGTTCCATCTAAATAAAGCGATTGTAGTTAACCAAGGACAGTTGTTTATTCGGGTTGGGCACAAAGAATACAAAGAATTCAGTTATGAATTCAGATACCATCCTGCTGACCTTGCTTTGGTCCAAGCTGTAGACCACAGATATCTGGTTGGTGTCAGATGAGAGCAGCACCTGGTTCCCTCCTGTACTTTCCCATAACGTGACCTTGGCAAGTTGGCAAGAGCAGTTCAAGCAGGCAATATGCATAGTGGGGGTCTTTCATTCCCCCCTTTTTCTATAAAATGAATGAAACCTTTTATTCATTGTTGTTCAATTTCTAATTGTTTTAGTCTCTGATATTGTTGGGTCAAAACTAAGGCTTGAATTACTGACAAGCGTTCCTTCATGAACTGTATTAGTCTATTCAGAATGCAGGGACCAAAGGTGGAGAATTAAAAGGAATATAATTAGCAGTCCCATAATGGTAGATATCAGGGTTGTGAACCAAGGGGAGTGATTAAAAAGCCTCTCAAACCATCCTTGTTGGGCTTCAAATTCTTTCTGTCTCTTTGCCAACCGATCCTGTAGTTTGTCTAGGGTCTCAGTCAACTCCTGTTTTGTCCACATAAAAACAGCATTCCTCTTTGAGTGCAGCACATATGCCCCCTTCCTTTAAAAATAGGAGATCGAGTCTCCTCCTGTTCTGGAGAACTACCTCAGATAAAGAGACAAGGGAGTCTTTAAGATCTCTAATGGATTTTCCTAATGCTTGCAGGTCTGCAGTCATAGTGGTATGAAGAGACTCATATTGGCTGACTCGACTCAAGGCTGCTGCTCCTGTGCCTATTCCTGCTGTTATTCTAGCCCCTAGAAGAAGGGCCAGGGTTATACTGACAGACTGTCTCCTGTACCTATGTTTGTTCTCAAAGAATTCATAAACAGTTTCAGAAGTATGATAGGTTATACAAGGGCATAATTCAACCAGAACACAATAATCAGAAGACTTATTCAGGATTTGTGCTGAAATGCAAGGAGTCAGTCCAGTGCTACATGCCCAGTAGGTTCCATTGGAAGCTGAAAGAAAATAATTGCCAGGGGTAATTGGCAGTGTCTGATTACATAGCTCCTGGAGGGTCTTGGGTATGGTGCCTAGGCAGAGCCCCTGCCCTGTGACTTCAGGGAAAGTCAAACTATGACCTGGTGAGTCTAAGTATTGCTGAGGGGGATTGGTATGGTTTAAAAAGTTTCCATTAATAGCTATACCTTCATAATGGGGGGGGGAGGCTCAGAAGGAGACAGAGCTAACATCTTTGGCCTGGTCAGGGTATGTAGCGTTGAGGGCCATGTAAGCCCCTTTAATTAATCTTAATAGTCTATTCCTGGTACCTGGGACTGGGAATAAGTGGGTGATATTAGGGGGAGTTGGCTGTGGCCTGGAGGGAAGTTTTTGGTCTGTAAGCAGGGAGTTTGGCCCTATGGCTTGTGGGGCAGGGTCCCTAATTTCCAAGCGAATTTTAAAGACAATTCCTTTGTCCAGCCCTGGCAGATACCATCTTAGCCCCCAAGTCTTGCTCTGTATCCAAACCGCATAGTCCTTTTTCCCATGGATGGTGAAGTCAATTTTTAAAGGGAGACAACGGCTGACTCACAGACCCAAGCCCCCCCCCATTGATGGGAGGGTGGCAGCTTTCCCTGCCCAAGGGGGGGCGAGTGTAATTTCGGTGCACTGTTATTAGATCCCAGGACAAGCTGGGCTTCCAATAGGCACTCCGGGTGATTTCACATCACCATTTTTTTTTTTGCAAAATTATTCCTGCTGTCCCCCACATCACGACCCCCTGGATTGACTCGGCTGAGGGCAGACATAGAAGTCTGATTGGGCTAGAAAACATTGGGTCTTAGGGTTGCTACAATCTATCCATCCATCTTCTGTTCTAGGCATGTCCTTTTCAAGGGAGTCTGCACAATAAGTGGGGATGTCCCAAGTGTCCAATCCAGCAGCTAGTTGGCAAAAATCAGGGGTGAGACTAGGCCACCAGGTGCCAGGTAGATAAAGGCCAGAGGTTGACCAGACGACCTCGCCTGTTTGGGAAATCACTTGCCAAGTCAAGTGCAGGGGGTGGGGGCATGGGGAGATCACGCTTCAGAAGCATTCAAACCTATGTACAAAAGCATGCTTGCTAATATTGAGACCGTAAAAGTCTTATCTTTAAGGGGTTTTGAGAGCGTTGAACTTTCCATGTTGGTTCTGGTTGTGCAGGCTTCACATGGGACACATGGATCTAGGCAGCAATCCCGTCTACTTTCAGGGCAGTGGGAGTTGTCAGGAGCACAGTGTAGGGGCCCTTCCAGTGGGGCTCTAAGTTCTTAGTCTGATGCCTCCCAACCCAGACAATCGCCAATCTGGAAAGAGTGGGGCTGACAAGGGTTTCTTTATTCTTCCCAGCATGCGGCCGCTAGAGGTTTCCAGACCTCTTCTTGAACTATCTGTAAGGCTCATAGATGTGCCTGCATGGAGGGGGTGTTTGCAAAATCAGAAATGTCAGCATCAAAGAATGATACAACTGACGGTGGACTGCCATGTAGGATTTCAAAGGGAGTTAGGCCATGAGGGCCTGGAGTGTTTCTGGCCCAATAGAGGGCCAGAGGTAGGAGTTGTACCCAGTCCTTAGAGCCAGTTTCAAGCGTTAATTTGGATAAAGCCTCCTTAATGGTTCTACTCATTCTTTCTACCTGTCCTGAACTCTGGGGTCTGTAAGCACAATGCAATTTCCAATTTATCCCCACTAACCTGGCCACCAACTGACTTACCCGGGAAATGAAGGCAGGCCCATTGTCTGATCCTATTACCTGTGGCATCCCACATCTGGGAAAGATTTCTTCCAAGAGTTTCTTGGTAACCATTTTTGCAGTCACGTGTTTGGTAGGGAAAGTTTTCATCCCTTCTGAAATGGTATCTGTGAAAACTAGTAAATATTTATAACCATACATGCCAGGTTTGACTTCAGTAAAGTCTATTTCCCAATGGACACCAGGCCTATAGCCACGAAGCCGGGTCCCAGGATCCAGTTTGGTTTTTCCTTGGTTGATCTAGGCACAGGCTAGACAGTTGACAGTTACTTGTTCCAGTAATAAATTCTGATTGGGAAGGTAAGTTCCAATTTCTTGCCTATCCAACAAAGTTTTCATCTTTTTGGCACTCAGATGAATCAGTTTATGGACTATCAGTATTCTTGCCATTTTTGTAGGCAGCATAGTCTTTCCTTGGTAGACCCAGCACTGTCGATTGGGGTCATAATCTGCACCTAGTTTCTGAACAATGTCCAAATCTGTTTCATCATAGTCCCAATCTGGAGCCTTAGCTGTCTCCTTTTCAGTCAATATATGGATATAGTCAATAATTGGGGGCCCAAGGCTGCTTGTTTGGCTGCTTCATCAGCCAGGCGATTTCCTTTGCCTCTAGGCTTTCCCCCCTTTTGATGTTCAGGGCAATTCATTATGCTCAATTCCTTGGGAAGGAACAGGGCCTTTAATAATGCCAAGATTTCATTTTTATTTCTAATTTCTTTGCCTTCTGATGTTAAAAGGCCCCTTCTCTGATAAATTTCCCCATGGACATGGGCAGTGGCAAAGGCATGTCGGCTATCAGTGTATACATTAAGCTTCTTACCTGCTGCCATCTGGAGAGCCTGAGTCAGAGCAATGAGTTCGACTTGCTGAGCAGAGGTACCTCCTGGGAGTGTAGTGGCCCATATGACCTTTGTAGCATCTGTCACAACAGCCCCTGCCCGTCTCTCACCATTTAGCAGCTGCCATCCGTGAACCAGGTGTAGTCCGTATCCTTCAAGGGCTGATCGGTCAGGTCAGGCCGCGTCACATGCATCTATGCAAGAATCTGCTGACAGTCATGGGATGCTGGTCCCTCCGGCAGCGGTAGCAAGGTGGCTGGGTTCAGGGTTACTATTGGCCCGAACTGGACCCTGTCTACAACCAGGAGCAGGGATTGATAGTGAGTTAGACGGGCATTAGATAGCCATCTATCTGGTGGCTGATGGATGAGGGACTCAACTGTGTGTGGCGCCAGTATGATCATTGGCTGTCCCAGAGTCAGTTTGGTGGCATCCTTGATTAGGATGGCAATCGCCACCACCATTCGGAGACATGGGGGTCATCCTGATGCAACTGGGTCTAATTTCTTGGAAAAGTAGGCAATGGGCCATCTCCAGGGTCCTAACTTTTGGGTTAAGGCTCCTTTTGCATAGCCCTGTTTTTCATCAACAAAGAGTTCAAAAGGCTTGGTGACATCTGGCAAGCCCAGGGCTGGTGAGGACAGCACGGCCCGCTTGATAGCATCAAAAGCCTGCTGTTGTTCCTCAGGCCAGTCAAAAGGTGTGTCTTGCTTGGTTACTGGGTAAAGGGGGGGCCACTGTTTCTGTAAACCCTGGAATCCAGAGTCTACAGAAGCCCGCAGTCCCCCAAAATTCCCTAAGTTGACGTTGGTTTTTGGGGATGGGTATGCGAGATATGGTTTCTTTGCAGGCAGGTGTCAACCATCTTTGCCCATCCATTAGCTTGTATCCCAAATAGGTGACTTCCTGTCTGCATATTTGAGCCTTTTTGGCAGAAGCTTGATGCCCTAGGTTCCCCAGTGTTCGTTATAGGGCCCTGGTACCTGTTCTGCAGTCCTGTTCAGTGGTGGCTGCAAGAAGGGGGTCGTCTATGTATTGCAGCAGGATGAGAGATGGATGCCTGATCTGGAAATCTGCCAGGTCTTAGTGAAGGGCCTCATCAAAGAGAGTGGGGCTATTCTTGAACCCCTGGGGTAGGCATGTCCAGGTCAATTGCCCTGAAATGCCCAGTTCTGGATCCTTCCATTCAAAACCAAATAAAGACTGACTCTGGGGACTCAGCCTCAGACAAAAGAAAGCATCCTTTAGTTCCAGAACAGTATACCAGGGATGAGTAGGAGGCAGGGTGCTTAGTAGGTTATAGGGATTTGGCACCGTGGGGTGAATGCCCTCCACTCGCTTATTGACTTCCCTAAGATCTTGGACTGGCCTGTAATCCCCAGTTCCTGGCTTCTTTACAGGCAGAAGTGGAGTATTCCATGGGGATCGGCAGGGGATCATGATCCCTTGGTCTAATAGTCTCTTAATGTGGAACTTGATTCCTTGATATGCCTCATTTGACATGGGATACTGTTTAATTGAGACGGGGGTGGCTGTTGACTTCAGGGGTATTATTAGGGGTGACTGTTGTATGGCCAGCCCCATGCTTCCTGTTTCTACCCAGGCCAGGGGGTATTGTTTTAACCATAAGTCCATTCCTTCCTGCTGCTCAGGAGGCTTTTCAAAAAGTCTACATTTATTTTCCAATTGCAAAGTCAATATTTGAAGTGGAGCCCCTTGTAGGCCGGAGACTTTAGCTCCTGATCCTTCAAAATGGATCTGGGCTTTTAATTTAGTCAGTAGATCTCAGCCCAGTAATGGATGTGGACAGTCCTGTACATGCAAAAAGGAATGTGAGACTTTACCTGATGCGAGGTGAACTTTTCTCTCCGTGGTCCACTGGTATTGTTTTCCTCCGGTGGCTCCTTATACCCAAGCTGTTTTTGTACTCAGTGGCCCATTCGTTTCAGTGATAACCGAATGTTGGGCTCCAGTGTCTACTAGGAAGGTGACTGGCTGTCCCCCGACTCTTAAGGTTAGCCTGGGCTGGGTGGGGGGGCTCCTGGCCCCGACTGCCCTAGTCTTCATCTAGGGCTAGAAGCTGAGTTGGTCTTTGGGGTCTGTCCCCACACCTCTGATTTCTAGGTCTCTTAGGGCAATCTTTGACCCAATGGCCTTTTTCTTTGCAGTAGGCACATTGGTCTCGATCTACCCTGGCCTCCTTTCTTCTCCCTTCCTTTCCTGACTTCCTGCATTATGATTATTCTGAGCTAAAGTGGCCAGGATTTTGCTTAATTCTCTCCGGTTCCTACGATCCCTCTCTCTCTCTCTCTCCTCTAGTTCCTTTTTTATCTTGTCCTCTCTTTCCTTCTGCAACTTTCTAAGTCTTTCTTCTTTCTCCTAAGGTGTTTCTCTCTTATTAAAGATCTTTTCTGCTTCCTTTAAGAGATCCTGCAGGCTATAATCTTGTAAATTATCTAGTCTCTGCAACTTATTCCTAATATCTGGAGCCGACTGCCAAATGAAAGCCACAGAAACATTTCCCCTTTGTTCATTACTATCAGGATCAAAGGGTGTATACGTATGGTAGGCTTCCTTTAGCCTCTCCAAAAATGCAGCTGGAGTATCCTCTGGTCCCTGGGTTATCTGTCTTACCTGAGCCAAATTCGTGGGGCAGTGTCCTGTGCCACGGAGGCCTGCTATGAGTAACTGGCGATAAAGACTTAGGTGTCCCCTACCTGTGGCAGTGTTAAAGTCCCAATAGGGACGATTTAGGGGAAAAACTTCCTCAATTTCATTAGGCAACTGAGTGGGCCTCCCGTCATTCCCCAAGACATTCTTCCAGGCTTCCAGGAAGACATGTTTTTTTCTTCAAAGGTTAAAAGGACCCGCAAAAGCTGTTGGCAATCATCCTAAGTGGGTTGATGGGTTATTAGAATGGATTCAATTAGGTTTGAGAGAGCTACAGGGTCTTTGGAGAAAGAGGGGTTGTTAGATTTCCAGTTATAAAGGTCAGATGCCGAGAAAGACCAGTATTGAAACTGGCCTCCTTGTCTGGCAGTCTGACGCAAGAGAAAGGCTCGGGAGGTTCCTTCCATGGCTGTCTCCCTTCGACCTTGGAGTCTGCCGGCTACTGGGGAGTCCGCAGCAGTCTCTTCTAGTCTGTTGTCCAGGGCAGGAGTGGTACTGTCTGGTTTGCCCGGACCCCTTTGCCGGGTGTCGCCGCCATTTTCAGTGCCCTGGGTAGTGGGCTGATATGGTGGGGGGGTCTCCATCTTCTGAAAGTAAATCTGTAAGATCAGACTCATCAGCAGGAAGAATAGGTTTGGAGTGAGGGGTTTTCTCTTTCTTGAGGACAGGATATAATTGAGATTTGGCAGGTGCCTGAGAGGAAACGAGTGGTACAGAAGAAGGCAAAGGGGGAGCAGTGGGCCCCTGTGAAGGTGGGCCACATCAGTCTTGGGGAGAGATTTAGAAGGGGGTTTGGGGGTGACAAAGGGAGCCACCCAAGGGGGTGGGTCAGAGGCCAAATCTTCCCAGGTGACAATATAGGCCACCTGGTCAGGATGTCGGTGGGGTTCAGTGTCGAAGACTCGTTCCTTTACCTGCAAGATAATACCAAGTTCGAAAGTCCCATCCCGGGGCCAGCCAACATTAAATGTCAGCCAATCAGAAGCACACAGAGTTTGCCATCTTTTTCTTCAAGTCAATTGACTGGTTGTACGCTCGGCCCTGGACTTTGCTCCAGTGATCTAGGGTCAGACTCAAAGGGGTAGTTACAGATTGTCCCATGTCTTTTTCAAAATAAAGAAGCAAATAGACAAGACAGACAGAACACACAGACAGGCGGCACCAAGACGTGCAGCGCGACTTCGGCGTAAAACCAAAACCAGATACTGAGTTGGGGTCACAGAGGGTCTTAAGTCCCCTGTCCCCTCCAAAACCACGAGTCCCTGGGACTGGTTGTTGGCCCAGAAAAATCAGGCGCCCCAAATCCCTGGAACATCTTCCAGGGTGGTAGGGGAGAAGTCTGAGCCCGTCAGCTCCTTCTCAAGCTGTCTACAGATATGGCTAGCTGATTAGCGATCGACAACAAAGTAGAGAAATTAAGTGCTGGCCAGCTTACCTCCCGGTGGGCACAGTGTCAGTCTCCAGGGAGGGGTCTCCAATCTCGGTGGGACCTCCAATGAAAGACCCCCAAGAGTTCGGAGTCTGCCAGGGAAAAGCCCTTGCCCCAAGAGACGATACCAGACCACTGGATGCAAGTGCAAGAGGCTGTTTATTGTTCACACACACAGGTACCTATGGACGCTTCAGTCTTTCGGGAGACTGAGAGAGCATGCGTGGTTAAAACATATGCAATTTATATAGGGTTGGGGTGGCAAGAAGCAGGCTTACAGAAGCAGAAGCATGGTTACAGGGATTTCATTGTTCCATCTAAATAAAGCGATTGTAGTTAACCAAGGACAGTTGTTTATTTGGGTTGGGCACAAAGAATACAAAGAATTCAGTTATGAATTCAGATACCATCCTGCTGACCTTGCTTTGGTCCAAGCTGCAGACCACAGATATCTGGTTGGTATCAGATGAGAGCAGCACCTGGTTCCCTCCTGTACTTTCCCATAATGTGACCTTGGCAAGTTGGCAAGAGCAGTTCAAGCAGGCAATATGCATAGTGGGGGGTCTTTCAGTAATAAGCAGAAATATTATAAAAGCCAGAGGGCAGAAGATAGTACTATGAAACTCTTTAATTATAAAATGGCCATTAAAACAATAAATGCACTTTGAACCCCATTGCAGGGCCTCTGCCAGAGGATCAGTTTAGTCTGAATTCCCCCACACCCTTCTCTGGGACCTCCCTGGGTTAGCCCCGAATCGTGCTCCCCCCTATATCCTGGCCCTGGAAAGTACAGCCCTAGTACTCTGCTCCACACACCACCCAGAGCCTGCCTTCCTCCCACCATGTATCCTACTGGGCCTGCTGCTCCAGTGCTCTGGTTGAGCACTGGGACCAGAGTATGGGTCGAACAACCCCTCCACCTCCGTGGAACATCCTGGGTCTGCTTTGAGCACACTGGACCCACATATTCATGAGGGACAACCCTGAGGCCATACCTACCTGATCTTTGGACCTGATCCCTGGCCCTCTGACAGAGGAGAGACCTCCTAGAGAGCTTGGACCATCCAGAATTACAGACATCCAACTCCTGACCCAACTATGCCCACTGGTAGAGTAGAGTCAGGAGAGAGAGACTCTACCTGCACCCACTGGAAGAAGCAATGGGAAGATGGCAATACAAGAAAACACCTAACAATAGAAAGACAAGAATGACACCACCAGAATCTAGGGACTCTACACCAACTAGACCTGAACATGCCAAAGCAAATGAATCAGAAGAGAATGAGTTAAAAAATACTTCATAAAAATGATAGAGGCCCTCAAAGACCGTATGAGAAAATCCCTTAAAGAAATAGAAGGAAAAAAAAAAAAAACAAAAAAACAAAAGATTGGAAAAAATAAGGGAAAAGACCAAGGCAAAACATGCAAGAAATGAACGAATCTCTTAAAGAAAGTAAGGATAGCCAAGAAAAAAAAAATAGTCAAACAGATGAAGGAAACAATTCAGACAGTTCAAGACTTGAAAACGGAAATAGAGGCAATAAAGAAAACACAAATGGAGGGAATGCTGGAAATAGAAAAACTGGGCTAATGATCAGGAACTACAGATGCAAGCAAAACCAACAGAATACAAGAGATAGAAGAGAGAATCTCAGGCATTGAAGATAAACTATAGGACATAGACTCATCGACCAAACAAAATCTTAAATCCAGAAAGTCTTTAACACAACACATCCAGGAAATGTGGAATACCATGAAAAGACCAAACCTAAGAATAATAGGCATAGGAGAAGGTGAAGAAGCCCAGCTCAAAGGTGCAGAAAACATACTCAACAAAATTATTGAAGAAAACTTTACCAATCTGAAGAAGGATATGCCTACGAAAGTACAAGAAGCATACCTATCACCAAATAGACTAGACCAAAGAAAAATAACCCCTCGACACATAATAATCAAAACACCTAACATGCAGAATAAAAAAGAATATTAAGAGCAGCAAAGGGAAAAAGCCAAGCAACATATAAAGGCAGACCTATCAAAATTAAACCTGACTTCTCCATGGAAACTCTCAAGGCCAGAAGGTCCTGGATAGATGTTATACAAGTATTAAGAATCCACAGATGCCAGCCCAGGCTACTATACCCAGCAAAACTCTCAATCATATACAGAGATAACACGATATTCAATGACAATGCCCGATTTTCACAATACATATCTACAAATCCAGCCCTACAGAAAGTTCTGGAAGGAAAACTGCAACCCAAGGAAGTAAACTATGCTCACAAACATAGGCAATAGATACTCCGAATTCACCAAAATCCAAAGGATAAAGCAGGAAAATACATTCACAATACTATCGCCAACAACAAATCTAAAACAAACAAGAATTAACAAGCAATAGTACTTACTATCCCTTAATATTAATGAACTTAACTTGCCTACAAAAAGACACAGGCTAAAAACAACCCTATACAATAAGAGAACTTCAGGAGGCATCACCATTCCTGACTTTAAATTCTACTACAGAGCTATAGTTCTGAAAACAGCCTGATATTGGCACAAAAACAGACAGGTAGACCAATGGAATCAATTGAAAATCCTGATATTAACTCACACACCTATGAACACCTGATTTTCGACAAAACAGCTAAAATTATACAATGGGGCAAGGACAGCATCTTCAACAAATGGTGCTGGCACAATTGGATGAGGGTGTGTAGAAGACTGCAGATAGACCCATGTCTGTTGCCATGCACAAAACTCAAGTCCAAATGGATCAAAGACCTCAACATCAATCCGAACACACTGAACCTCTTAGAAGAGAAAGTAGGAGGTACCCTTGAACAAATTGGTATAGGATACCGCTTCCTGAACATAACTCCAGGGGCACAGACACTGAGAGCAACAATTAATAAATGGGACCTCTTCAAACTTAGAAGCTTCTGTAAGGCAAAGGACACAGTGGACAAAACCAAATGGCAGCCCACAGACTGGGAAAAGATCTTCACCAATCCTATATCCGACAAAGGGCTGAACTCCAAAATATACAAAGAACTCAAGAAACTAGGCAACAAAACAACAAATAACCCCATTAAAAAATGGGGTACAGACCTGAAGAAAGAATTCTCAATAGAGGAAATCAAAAAGGCTGAAAGACACTTAAAAAAGTGCTCCACATCCTTAGCTATCAGGGAAATGCAAATCAATACAACTTTGAGATACCATCTTACTCCTGCCAGAATGGCTAAAATTAGAAACACCAATGATGACTTATGTTGGAGAGTATGTGGAGAAAGGGGTACACTCCTCCACTGCAAAGTCATACAGCCATTCTGGAGATCAGTATGGCGGTTCCTCAGGAAAATGGGAATTAGTTTACCACAGGACCCGGCAATCCTCCTCTTAGGCATATACCCACATCCATGCAACAAAGACATCTGTTCAACTATGTTCATAGCAGCACTATTTGTAATAGCAAGAAGCTGGAAGCAACCTATATGCCCCTCAATTGAAGAATGGATAATGAAGATGTGGCACATCTACACAATGGAATACTACTCTGCAGAAAAAATAATGGTATCTTGAAATTCGCAGGCAAGTGGATGGCACTTGAAGAAACCTTCCTGAATGAGGTAACCCAGTCACAAAAAGAGGAACATGGTATGTATTCACTCATTTACCTAGAGCAAAGGATCACCAGCCTATAATTCACACCACCAGAGGAACTAGGATACAAGGTGTATTCTAAGAGATTCATATAAAGTCCCTCACAGAAGCGGGAAGGGACAAGTCCCCCAGAGCACAGGGGAAGTGGGGGGGGGGCAGTGAATGGAGAGAGAAGTAGGAGAAAGCGAGGGGGAGGAGAGGAAAACATGTGCAACTAGGAAGATTGAGTCTGGGTAGGAATAGAAGACAGGAGAGAGAAAGACAGAGAGCGAGAGAGAGAGCGAGAGAGAGAGAGAGAGAGAGAGAGAGAGAGAGAAAAGAGGGAGCCAATATTGGTTTGAAGATAAAATTGAACCCAAAGAAAGGTCTAGAGACCTACAAGACTGCCGCTAACTAACAATTTGAGCATCCATGGAAAGGCTACCATAAATGCCCTTCCTGGAGAGTGAGATCAACAACTAACTTATCCATGGAGCCCTCATCTAATCCTGTTGGAAATAGGAGCAAACACCCATACAAAAACACTGAGTTGAACTAGAATCCAGATGTAGATGGAGAGGACAAGACCAGGCGACAGAAACACATAGAGACAGCTTACCTGAACAAGGAGGAGCTAATGGGCCCCCAGACTGATAGCTGGGAAGCCAGCATGGGACTGACTCAGAACCCCCTGAATATGGGTCTCAGCCAGAAGGTCTGAGCAGTCTAAGGGACCTCAGACAGTGGAGCCAGGATGTATCCCTGGTGCATAAAAGGACCTTGTGAACACATCCCCCATGGAGGGATAACTGCCTTAACCTAGAGACAGGAGAGAAGCCC